AGTCTGATTTTCAGACCCTTTTACCGAATGGTCGTACGTTTTGTGCTGTACAAAGATTCAATCAGTTTAATTTTGGCCATTACAAGTAGTGGGTTATTGATGTAGACAAAATTAATGCTCATGTACCTGTTACAGCTCACTTTATGTATGTTATTACCAAAGAAAAAAGATGCCAGTCAGTCACTCAATAGTGTATGACGGTAGGGTCCAGAAGGTAAACGGATTTCTTTGCATAATTTGAATACTAGGACACTGCTAATGTTTAAATTTAACAGGACATACGTGACATAATCATAATCCTGCAAAGTTCTACAGAATTTGATGTTGACTGCAAACGGGACATATACCTTTAAGAAAGGTTATAATTCCCTAGTATGACTTTGAAATCAATGCGGCTCATATGAGATTTAAAGACATAGAATACCATAAAAGTGAAGTTGAAAAGCTAAGAAGGTCTCGCATAAATTCATAGCAATATATATCTGCTTTTGGCCTTCGAAGATATCTAATTGCCCTTTTCCCTTTCTACTAAGTGACCTTTTTCTTTTAAGAGCCCCTTCATCTTCTCATTAATGCCCCTTCTCACCTATATGCCCCTGTTAAAATCTAATAGTTGTCCCTCTTCCTTCGACAATAGCCCATTTCCTTTGTAATAAGGGCCTTTTCTATTTTCATAAGTGCCCCTTTTGATAAACAAGAAGTGTATCTTTTTACTCAGCGACACGCGCTCCTTTTATTTTCTTATAAGTGTTATTTTCCCTTCTGATATAAGTGCCCCCTTCTCCTTACTCCATAACATGTGCCCTTCATTTCAAGCGCCTATATACGAGCAACTTTCCTTTCGAATTTCCCCCAAAGCACGCTCGCTATGCTAGCTAGATAGTTAATGTATTTTTTTGTAACTTTCTTACAAGGTATTTTCGGTCTTTCATAATGCGATTGTGCTTAAACCCAAGTTAGGATTTGTGTCTTCTCTTGACCAGTTTAAGTCCTTGCTGAAAACTTACCTTTTTAATTCATGAATGATATTCTGCAGTTGTGAGTCGGTCAATGGAGGTGCACATTATCTTATTCCTTGTTTGATCGTTTGTTTGATCTAATATATTTGCTACACGCCTGGCAAGAGGGACCCCATATTATGCACACTGTAAAATTACGTGCCCCCGCCCCTTTCCTGGTAAAAACACCTTCTTATATTCATCCCCTTTCTTTCTTTTCCCTTCTCATTATTCTCCCTTTCCCCCTTTTCTCTCCTCTGTCTTTCTCCCTTTCTTACTTTTCCGCGTTTTCTCTCCTCTCTCTTTCCCTTTCTTCATTCCCCTCTCCTTTTTCTCCTCTCCCCTTTTCTCTCCTCTCCCCTTTTCTCTCCTCTCTTCTTTCCTTCTTTTTCTCCTTTTCTCCCTTTTTCTTTTCCCCTTTCCCCCTTTTTATTTTTTAACCGGGGGGGGGGGGGCATGTGCCCCCTGTGCCCCATGAATCCGCCACTGATTATTATTATTTTTTTGTTTTTGTTATGTTATTTGCTTGCTTGTTTGAATGACATACAATTTCGAGTGAAAATTTACACCATTAACATATCCATGACCACTTTTATATGATTTCTTTTTGTGTTCCTAGATCCCGCAGAAGTTGCTTGAACGTTTAAGAGCGTGTTCGTACACTTAAATTTCCTTTCCGCTATATTGGCTCGAATTCACAAAGAGGTTTGTCGACAAACCTAGGTTTATGTGCGTTATATGACGTGTTTCGATGCGTTTCAGACCAATGTTCAGACAAACCTTGGTCTGAAACGCGTCGAATCGCGTCATTTGACGCACATAAACCTCCTTTGCCGACAAACCTCCTTTGTGAATTCGGGCTATATAGTTTGATTTTGAATGTTATATTTTGCATAGTCATTTACGCATAATTAACATGTCTTTAAAAGAAACTTTAAGATATAGATTTAGAACAAAATGAAGCAGATGGTATAGTATTACGATTCTTGAAATTCCTGCCGAGTGATTGGAGCGATCGCTCATTATATATTAAACTAAATAAAGCGGGGGCGGCAGGTCTGGACCCCCTCCCTCACTCCCGTCAACGCACATTTTCCTCCCTTTCCCACCTCTCCTTCCTCTTTTCTGGTGCAGTTACAGTTAATACTTGTCTGCTTGGGGACATAATTTTGCATTAGAGTGAATTATATTTTTGTTGTTTCAAGTTTCAAGTTTTATTTCAATTCGAATCCATAAAAAACACATTTTACGAAAGTATCAAATACAGTCATACAGATTATATACCAAGAACACACACAAAATAGACACATGTTTACAATTATACCGGAATTATACAGCTAATCAATTTATAGAAATTAGTTTTATGTCTGTCCAATCTGAAAGATTATTTCCGCCTGGCTATATACTGTTTTTCAATTCATTTAACAATGGTGATTAGATGGTGCTGCTTCCTTTTCTCTGGCTCAAGTATTGAATCAGTCATTTCAGTGTTTAATTTTGTTCTATTTTATTCTCGATTGGTCGCCACTGACTTTCACAGCTTCCTTACGTTGGTTTTGACTGTTCACTCGATGATATGGGCGATAATTTATTTGTCGAACAGTGTGCGAGTATAATAAAGGTTAACTGTGCGGTGTGCGTGTGTTTGTGTGTGTGCGCGCGTGTGTGTGTGGGTGTGTGCGTGCGTGTGTGTGTGTGTGTGTTTTCTACATTTTATAGCTTAGTATTTTCATCCCTTGTATATACAGTTACGTTACATTCTATTTGCTCACCTTATTGTTAATGTATGTATTTTGTTGACTATATAGGGCCCCGCTCACAAGCTTAACTTCTAAAGGGGTACTAAAACCATTCATTTTATGATGTGATCAAGTTAATATATGATGATTAATGTACTATTACCAGTCTCTTTTTTAGGTAAAAGATCATATCATGTTTTGTGTGGTTTTGAATAAAATGAACTTGAACTTACCTGATCGTAAATACTTTAGCCCCCCCCCCCCCTCGCCACACTTTTTAAAACGTTTCGCGGGGCTTGTTTTGTATGTTTGTATGCAGTTATTTCGATGATAGCCTACGATCTACAACAGATAGAGGTCATGGAAATTACGTAATCAAAGTGAATTCCATGACATGCATGGTACCTACACAAGTGAAAGTATTATTTTCAAAAGGGGGAATCGTAACGCACCGCTATCACATTAGCAGCGATTATTCTCAAATGCAAAAAGCGCCATCTCCAAAATCTGTTGGAAATTGGGGTCATTAAACTCGTAACATGTGTTAATTACAAATTGGTCTATTGGTAGAATCCGGACTGGGTAGAATACACAAGTGATGTGATGTTTGGGTGATTATAGAAGGGTAAATCTGTGTTTGTCTCATGGCAAATCAATACAACATTCCAATTCAACAGATTGTACAAATTGACGAAATAGGGGAAATACATGTAAGTCTATTATGCGGTCTGATTGTTTGACGATTTTAGTGATATCAAAAAAGAAATATTTATCACACTTTGCTCACTTTCTTCTTCGTCTTCTTCTTCTAACTGTCTCCTCTGACCAGGCACGTAGCCAGAGTTTGATGTTGGGGGGGGGGGGGCACATACATGTAATCGATCGAGGTCCAAAAAGGGGTCTAAAAAAGGTTCAACCGTTCTTGGAATTTTTTGGGGGGCGCGTGCCCCCCCCCCCCCTTCCCCCGTGGCTACGTGCCTGCCTCTGACACCAATTTTGTTTGCAGGTTTATTGTTGCGTGTCCATCAAAATGAAAGAAAGACGCTCACGCCATACGGGGCACACTTTACTGATCACCCATTCAGGAGCACAATAGTATGTCCAGTACATGCATAACCTTATAAATCAACAGCTGAAGACGATAGCTTCAAGCAATTCCTCTACAAATCAGACGATAGAAAGTACGAGGTTCGCTGGAATTCCAACATTATATTAGCATGACAATATCTTTTTAGCACGGTGGGCTCAATAGCATGACAGTTATTTTCACCCACTTTCACCCACCTGCTGAAGAAAATTAAAATTACTTTCCAAACACTTAGGGGAGCACCGCTCATCTAGGACGGCTGCAGACGTCTCGTTTACTGGCACCAAGTAACAATACACACAGGTTATCTTGGATAATGAAATTTGATATATACCCGCCCCCCCCCCCCCAACTCCGAGATTGGACGGACCCCATGCTTTTCGTAACAAAAGAAAAAGGTCGACCCGTATTGACTTTACACACCGGACTTTTGCTAAAAGGGGGGGGGGGGTGCTGAAAAAGGCTCGTATACAAAAGAAAAAGGTCGATCCGTATTGACTTTACACACCGGACTTTTGCTGAAAGGGGGGGGGGGTCGGTTGGAACACGCATATGCGTACCCTAAATAACACTGAGTGGGGGGGGGGGGGCGGGGATATATACCTTCTCAAAATACTTACGTATGCAAAATTATGCATATGAAAAGAACACCTCTTTTCGTCAATGTGCGTTCTTACACCTGTCAAGCCAACCTTTTAAGCATAATCTATTGAACAACTCTACCTGTCGAGCCAAACTTGTAAGCAAACTAAGGCAATTGTCACACATCTCCTGTTAAGGCAAGGTTGCGAAGCCCTGGCACCATCTAGTCATGCAGAACATAAGCATGAAATTCAACTTTCCTAAAGAATCTGTAAAGAAGGAACAATTCTTTTAGAATTGTTAAAATCGGGTGGTCCGCACTGCCTCGTTAGATAGCAGTCAATGACCAACGCCCTACTCTTATTCAACCTTCCCGCCACGCGACTCTTGCATACATTATGCAAAGTGGGGTCAAAGCTCCGATGGAAAATGTCATTATCACCAGTACGTTTTTGGAACCCGTTGCCATTATTAAATGCCTTTGTCTTGGGTGAATGTGATTCGTTCGTCTGCTCAAACCACGTGATGCATTCAAAGAAACCGCCCGCGCAAATCAAATTTTAGGTTTCGTGTAAGATGAGGAGCTAAAAATCTGCCTGTCTCTGCTAGATTCTGTCCTAGACAAGTCGCTTGGAGATTTTTACTTAGTTTTTGCTTCGTAATTGAATTCGTCGTCGTCGTATTGCTTAGTGTCATAATGATTGCTAACCGGTACAACGATAACTGTGTGGAGTATACCCAGAAGGGTACGCGTTGTTTGAGGAAGGTACCCCTAGCCTTAGGAATTGAAGGAGAGTGCTGGCAACACCGTCAGTAAGTACACAATAATCTCCTAAATTAAAACCCAATTTACCAACCATAGTTGATTATACATTCAAGAAGTATAATGACCCCTAAGTGAGTTGACGTAGGTTTCTTTAGAGTCATCCTTTGCCAATTTACCTAATCAAAAGTGTTTAAAAAATTGTAACATGTGCACTTTATAATTATTTGCAATCTATTATTATTGGCAATCTAGAAGTAATTTGTCCTTGTTTTATGTTTCCTGTATTACAGACAGCCAGCCGAGGTCCAGTGCTCTGCACATACTGGGCTTCATGGGAATGGCAGACGTTGCAGCCGGCGTGGACGTCACACGCTAGACGAAAACGCCGTTGAACTCTACTGCACGCAACACGGTATGTATTTATTCAAAGTAAACCTCTCAACATTACTGTTACTTCTCATTTGTTTAAAAGGCAGTCTTGTGGACCATAGACCTTTACTGTTTAAAAATAGTATGTATAGAATCGTGAATATTGATTCATGACGAAAATATTTTGAGACTAATTACACTGCCCCTATAGCTATAACTTCTAAGTATGTAAGATGATGGATCATTCAAAGTGTACGCTTTGTACTGTGACAGGTTAAGGAGTTGGGCCACCATTTGGCCTTTTTTTAGGGGGGGGGTAGATCTATATAACAAATATCAATGGAGAATCGTGTATTTTAATGTCATCTGTGAAATACCATGAAATACATCCTAACATTTATATTTTGCTTGGTTTATACAGTCAACAAGTTGCATCGCGAGAACGGCCGTGCGGAGGTCGTTTCTGCTAATCGCCAACAGCAGGATGAACAGCGTAGGAGGGCGGAGGAGCGTGAGCAACTCCACCCGAGACGTAGGTCACCGCGTCTGGTAGAGCGAGAGATCGCCGCTGCCGCTGTTCAGCTCGCCGCAGAGAGGGAGCAACGTCGTGCCGCCAATCGGGCAAACCAGAACCTGCGGAGGTCGGCCCGGATTGCCGCGAGGCGAGGCAATGTGTGATAATAGCCTGGGTAAGTAAAATTACTTTATTTCTTCGCTCGCCTATTTTTATAATTATAACAATACCCCCCTCCCCAAAAAATAGACGAGCATACAATGTATTCAAAATACAATTATGTACCTAAACAAAAGATCTCAAATTTGAAGACTTGCGAATCTGCCCAAACTTTACCAACATAGCAGCAACTGTTTATTTTTAGTTGAAACAAAGTGAGCCGAGGTGGTTTCAATGTTTCTTTTATCATCGATCCCTAAAGGGCCTTAACAGCATCATGTTATATGCCACTTATATATAGGGGGTTCTGAAAATGAATTAAAATGAATGCATATTCTGTTGTTAAGTACGTTAAAAAGAAGTATGAAACCAAACATCTGGCTCATAATGAAATTAAAGGGGATGTATGTACTACCTGATATTAGGTTGGTTTTAATAGAAGCAGATAAATGAGAGAAACAGGCCAGTGAAAGTTTGAGCATATTAAACCGATTGAAAATAAGAAAGTTATTATGGGAGCAAGCAATCAAACAAAATTGGCGATTCTGACGTTTCACGTGACGTGAGCCCGCCTCCCGGTGTCCTTTCCCCCCAAAATCTTAAAAACGTATATTTTCACCTAAGAAATGTTTCAAACATATATTAACCCTAAGTATAATCATTGCAAGTTTGGTTTTATACAACCCCTGTATGAAACGTTTCTATTCCGTCATCAATAACTAAGAGAATTATAAAAAAAAAAAAATCTGTACAGAGCAAGTAGGAGAGGAGCTTACATGATGACAGCTTAACACATTCATAACTTTCATGTTTTTAATTTAATATTGCACTACTTTGTTTATCTAATTTTTATGGTTTCATTACAACCAACTTGATATCAGGGTGGACTTCCACTTTTAGTATGAATGATTTTTTTTTTAAACTCACTTTGTTCTTTCCTACAGACTGATTCGCAGAAGCAGCAGGGGGGAGACCGAGGGGGGATACTGGGTCGAACACTGCTGAGGTTCTCGGGACGTAAACGCCTTGCTATAGGAGTAGTAGGGAGGAAGCCGAGACGGGTAGTGCATGGTCACTCAAACCAGGCCCGCTGCACTATCGTGGTCAAGAAAGACTGGGTGTGGTCAGTCGGGGTAGACGCCGGAGGCCATTCTCTTTCTTTGACCGCCTGTAAATTATTTCCAAGAAGGTATGTGTACTGTTCATTATTAGGCTTCATACAGTGTATGTTTGAAATAGTAATTAGTTCTTTATAACATTATAGCAGTACATGGTGAGTCTTCATGTTTGCTTCTGTTTGCATATGTCCTCATCATTTTGGAGAGTATGTAACTGCTATGTTTCCTCTATTTTATAATTAGTAAATGTAGGGCCGAAAGGTGAAAAACAGTTTAATATTTGTTCAAGATACTTGGAAATAAATCTACTTTGAAATGAATGTATATACTTGCTATATACTATATCTAACAAAATGTCATAATTTGTCTTTGAGTTTAAAGATTGTATCTGCCCAATCATATTTCCTTTCAGATGCCTAATAAAGCATTCTGTTTACCTCTTTATTCAACAGATCAGGCCTCACCGTGGGACGCGCACACACGTTGTAGGTATGCAGGTATTTCAATGTCTACCTTGTGACAATATGTTCCTATTCACCAGATCTGTTTACCCCCATACCTCCTAATGGGAGTCATGTATATCTATGAGTTTGACACGTTGGTTACCAAGTTGAGAACTTGTGAATATTTGGTCGAAAATCTTTTTGAAATATACATTATATTGTTTTTTAACAAAGGATTCAGAAGTTGTCTTCTTTTGTAAGTCTTAGTTATTGGGTTTTGCAATCATCCCTCTCATAAAAGCAGTTGTACTGATATTTCAAATTGTATCTTGTTGTAAGAGCTACACTTGGCAGGAGTTGTCCAATTACCCAGTTCGTAATTAGCACGAAATATCCACTGAATATCTGAACATGAAGAGACCCAACATGATCCTTAAAGTGGAGGGGTCACGTGAATGTCTTTTATCTCCATTTAGAGACAACTTTACCTGTGTATCATGAAATATCAATGGTGCATGAAATAAAAATGAATATTTGAACATGAGCATGTATCCAGTATTTGTTTCCACATTTTTTAAAACCAAAAACAAATTTAGACTGCAATTACAAACTGGCTTGTTATAGGATGTGTACCGGTACTTGTGGAAAGATTGTACTTTCATGTGGAATATCAGAAAATGCACAAAAGAATTAGAAAAGAAGATTCTAACAACTAATGATCTTATACGAAAATGGTTTCAAACTAATAAAATTAAATACTATTAAAAAATATCAAATTAAAAAAGATAAGTAAAATTAAAAACAAAATATAAAATGGAAAAAAAAAATGATTCAATTGAATAGAATACATTCTTTTTATAAAAAGGGTTAGAAATGCGAAGTTTCAACTTTAATCATTAAGCATTATTGATCATAAAAGTTTTCTAGTCCATTGAAACAAATAAGTTAAATCTCAGCTTCTAAGTGCATATACTTGATTCAAATTTCTTATACATTATATCCAATTTATGCATAAATAGGTTCTACTCACTTATAACAAATCCCATTCTGTTACTCTTTTTGTCGCGGATTGTTCTCAATCCTATCTTTTAAAGGGGTGTTTATTCCCGACATCTTACAATTTGAAGAAAAATGAAATCACTTAATCTAAGTCACCTCACACCTTTATGTGTGGCTGGAGTAAAATAGTTGTCCATTTATAGTTGAGTATGAGACAGTATTTTAATTTGTTGATTTTAGTATATTATTCAAAGTTACCATAATACGTACATGTAGTAGCATGACATCGGACACAAAATATATCGTGTTCACTTTTTTCAGGTATACGGCCCCAGTAAATCCCATGTGTGGTCTCTAATAGGATTGGTTATACTCTCTGTGAAATGTAATATTTTTATCCTTTTTCCTTCTCAGCTAATCTTTACAGTTTGTCTCTTCAATCTTATACAATTGCTTTTATTGTGGGTTGTTTTTGTTGTTCGTCTAGTAGGTTAGGACTCCTTTTACATGTCTTCAAATATATTATAATTTTTTTCTGATTTTCTTCTCAATTCTGCACTAAATAAATTAAATTATTTAATACAGTAGGCCCTACTTCAGATTTGTGACAAAAATACCTTCAAATACACCCTATCCTTTTCAAAATGACCTATCAAATTCTCACTTGCATGTGTGAATATACAAACTCCCTCCCATTTCCTATTGATACATCCCCCTCCCTCTATAACTCTTTAAAAAAAAAAAAAAATAGACAAATTAGTATTGCACTGTATATAGCATCTACGAAAGTTGTGATTCCCTCTTTCAGTCTATTGTTATTATCCAACAATTCTCAGTATTTTTTAACAGCTGTTTATCTTGTCCAATGCTCTCTTTGATTTACCCGTCTCTCCATTGCAGCAGGGATGGTCCTCGGTATTGTAGAATTTTCTAATAGCTCCTTACATCCTCTAACAATATTGAATCTTTAAGGGTCATTCCGTAAAATTGAGACAAAAACAAAATCAAGATTGAGAAGGTTGTGAGGAGATCACGAAGGTTAAAGAGTGAAGAGTAAAGATTGAAGAGCAGGGCTTGCCCTTAACTTTTTTTTGAGGTGGCCAGCAGGGCCACTTGGGTAGGAGATCTGGGTGGCCAAATGGATTTTCAGGTGGCCCCACTTTTATGCGTTATTAAATAATGCAAATGTTTAATAAAAAAATGCATAAATTATACGTGTTAAAAGCAGCATGAGCTGCATTTAATAATGAAAGGTGAGTGACTCTTTAGACTCTCATTCCAAATCCTCTCTCTTTGTTTCTATACTTCTGTCTCAACTTCACTTCAATGTTTTTCTCCCTTTCTCCTTGACTATCATGCATCACAAGGACCCCCTCCCCCTTAAGTTAGGATTGTACAGGGCACACAAGGCGCCAAACTTCTGCTTTTCTTTGAGCTCCAAGTTCTGTTGGAAGATATAAAATTGATTGTATATTTACTTTAGGCCCGAGTCGAAACGGGTCCCCGCCCGGGCCCCGACCGTCGAGCTGAAACCCGGTTTTTGGTTTTCGGGTTTCGGGTTTTTCAAAATTAAATTTCACACTGATATTTTGAAATAAAGAACTAAAAATATGGAATTCACAAACTTATATTTCAATATAATCAAATAAATATGCTTTAGAAATAAATGGATATTGTTTCAGTTGACGGTAGGTGTTTTTATCGCTCTAAAATTGAGGCTGCAAGAAAGGAATCACGCTTCGTGGTACCGATCGAGTGCGTTCAGAAACGGAAGTGGAAATAGATCTATGACCCACTGAAGACAGAGCAAGAAAATGCCACACACAAGACTAAAATATTGATCAGACTATTGCAATTTAATCGTAATACTAAAGGCATTAATTTAATTGTCAAAATATATCCACAACATAATGGTTTATCCTTGATAGTTTGATGAAGGAAAATAAATTAAAGCTCTTGAAATAACATCGAAGTGCCTTTCGTTCGTTCTAAAAAATGCGTGTATAACGGCAAGCAGAAGTTACGAGTCAAGCTTGATATGCACGTTTAAATCCCTACACCGTCATCCGACCTGATCGGAACAATAAGCATTAAACCAATTAAAAAACATCACGTAAGACTTTAAGGGACTCCAATTCAACAAAATTACCGTAAAATAATTATTTGCTTTGACAAATAATACTATAGATATTCATAATATCTTACAGAAATAATGATATTTCATGAGCTACGTACTCGATATCGAGTTCAGCTAGCCATCATTTTGAAATGAGACGTAGTTGTCATGCATGCAGCGCAGAATGCGGCAGCTCGCAGCTAGCTAGAGAGGGAAAAAAAAATCACGTAATAGTCACGTGAATATCACGTGATCTCAGGCCCGCGCTTTTTCCTCTCTCTTCTGCATACTGCCCTCTACAGTCTACTGCATGACAACTACGTCTCATTTCAAAATGATGGCTAGCTGAACTCGATATCGAGTACGTAGCTCATGAAATATCATTATTTCTGTAAGATATTATGAATATCTATAGTATTATTTGTCAAAGCAAATAATTATTTTACGGTAATTTTGTTGAATTGGAGTCCCTTAAAGTCTTCCGTGATGTTTTTTAATTGGTTTAATTCTTATTGTTCCGATCAGGTCGGATGACGGTGTATAGGGATGTAAACGTGCATATCAAGCTTGACTCGTAACTTCTGCTTGCCGTTATACACGCATTTTTTTAGAACGAACGAAAGGCACTTCGATGTTATTTCAAGAGCTTTAATTTATTTTCCTTCATCAAACTATCAAGGGTAAACCATTATGTTGTGGATATATTTTGACAATTAAATTAATGCCTTTAGTATTACGATTTAATTGCAATAGTCTGATCAACATTTTAGTCTTGTGTTTGGCATTTTCTTGCTCTGTTTTCAGTAGGTCATAGATCTATTTCCACTTCCGTTTCTGAACGCACCCGATCGGTACCACGAAGCGTGATTCCTTTCTTGCAGCCTCAATTTTAGAGCGATAAAAACACCTACCGTCAACTGAAACGATATCCATTTATTTTTTAAAGCATCTTAATTTAATTCCATTGATTATTTTATTGTTTTGAAAGCAGTAACTGTCTTTTCCGTCGCATTATTAGAACAGCAACTTAGTCTAACTCCCGCCGCTGCATGCACACGATTTTTAGTGTCAGTACACCAATCACAATGCTGGGATTTGGGAATCCCCAACTTACACGCCCGAAATCTCATGCGCAGTTTGTAACTGCGCAACAAAGAGTTGAGAAGCGTACTAGCAGTGCTGCAATGCGGATATCGACAGCTGCCCTATACGCGGTAGCATACTATGATAGCGCTACGCCTATGTACCGGCCAGGCCGGGGTGGCGGCGGCGGTGTGTACAGTACCTACGCGACGGCGTGCATCGTTTTTATAAAGTTAGTATGCGAAACGAAACATTTCCTTGTTTGATAGATCGGATTGCGTCGCTTGGAAAAGCTTGGAAAAATAAATGTCGCTTCGGTTTCGGGTAGATCTAAAGGTTAAACAAGTTGTTGATAAATAATTTATATATTACTGTCCAAATATTTGGGTGGCCAGCCGGGCCATCTAGTCGGTGATTTCAGGTGGCCCGACAGCGTTTCAGGTGGCCATTGGCACCGGGCCACCGCTAAATTCGAGCCCTGAAGAGTGTAGTTCTGAAAAGACCTGTTCGAATACAGACAGTTCATGTTATTTTGTTTCATTCTTTCCTCTTTCTGTATCATTTTATCTTTCTATTTATTTTTATTTGTTTATGTCTTGGTCTTTATTTTTCTTCTTTATGTATATCAGCTTTAAGTCAAGACCAATCCTCTGTTCCCCTCTCTCTCCCTCTCTTTCTATCTCTCACAATTTCTCCCACTTTCTCGCTCACTATATATGATTATGACTTATCAAATCTACATTTGCTTGTTTGAATAGGATACATAAAATTCAAAGCAATACTTTTATTTGCCTTCTCCCCTTACCCCCCCCCCCCTCCTCCTATGTCTGTATTTCTCTCTCTCTCTGTATATGATTTAACATTCTTTGTTCCTGGAATACTGTACATCTGATTTAAATGTTGAATAGCTAGTGGAATAATTTACATTAATTTATTTTTAAATCTAGATTTAGTTATTCGAATACTGTACCAT